CAGTTTTTGTGATCCAAATTATGTAACTTCATTAGTCCCACGTCCATTTCCATCTTTAATAATGGTGAGTTCAATTTTTGTAAAGCGTTTTAGCGTTAATCAAGAGTTGAGAGCAAGATGTCTGAATGAAAGAACATGTAATAGATTTAGAGATAGAAGGACCTTCAAAACAATTTTTTCCTCCTTTTCATTTGACAGATGAGGAAACTGAGAGCAGAGAGATAAAGTCATTTGCCTATTTCCACAGAGATAGAAAGTGGCAAAGTCAAGCCTTGACCCAGGTACTCTGATTTCAAATCTGATATTTTTCTGCTATATCCCTCATCATGGAACAGTGGAAAATATATTGAGTATAGAATCCTAGGATCCAGGTTCAAATCCTGCCTCTGCAACCTATTATCTGTATAATCTTGTAAAAGTCATTTAACTTTCCCATCAGTTTCCTTATCTGTAATATTATAATTTTAGATTAAATGGCTTCTGAGGTCACTTCCTGATCTAGATGAATGATAAAATAGCAAAAAAAAGAACCAAATGAAGAAAAATAATAAAATTAAAAGCAAATTGGGAAAAGGAAAGAATTTGTCAATTTAACTTACCTGCCCCCCCAATTCAATAATACTTCAACAAGAAAGCCATGCACAAAAAAATTAAATTAAATGAAACAACCTCCAAAACTTCCACAGTTGTTTTGAAGCTCAAAAAAAGAAAGAAAGAAAGAAAGAAAAAATTAACAAAGGAAGAAATAAAGATGGAAATTGGGACAGAAATTAGAGCTTTCAAAGAAGAATTAAAAAAAAAAACCAGAATAGCTCATTTAGAAGAAATTATGGCTAAACTTCCCGAAGCAATGAAAAAGGAGATTTTGAAAAAAGGAAACTAGCAAATTCAGAACTCAAAAATCTAAAAATAGAAGACTATCGGAATGAAACCAAAAGGTAGCAAAACTGGAAGAGAACCTGAGATCTTCATTGGCTAAATCAATTGATTTTAAAGATGGAATATGTCCAGAATTATTCCTGTCCTAGAAAAATACAAAGAAATAAAAAACAATCTAAAAAATAACATATTTTGGTACTAGAGAAAGGTAAATATTCTTGTTTTAAAAAATAGAGAAAACTATACTTTAAATTATAAATGAGAATGGTTGACTTCGATTCTCAAAATATTTTAGAATATATTATTAAAGGAACAGCCTATGAACATATAGAAAAGGGGGGAGTAAATATTATAAAGAATCAGTACAGCTTCTTCAAGAAGAAGGCATACCAGACTAAACTCATTTCCTATTCTGACAGATTTAACAGATTAAAAGATTATGGGAAAGTCATGGAGGTGTCTGCCTAGGTTTTAGAAGCTCATTTAATAAATTCTCTCATAGAAACTATAGAGATCAAAGCCAGAAATAATAAAGAGAAATAGATTTAGAACTAGCTGAAGGCTGACCCAAAGAGTAATCATGAATAGTTCTAGGTTAATTTGTAAGGGAGGTACCAGTGGGATGCCCCAGGAAACTATATTTGACCCTGTGCTCAGTAACATGTTTATAAATAACTTAAACAAATGTATAGATGGCATGCTTATCAAATATGAAGATGATACAAAGCTAGGAAACCTAATTTAAATAGTGAATGAGTCACAATTAAAAAAAATCTTAATAGACTAGAATATTGAGCTGAACAATATATGATGACAGAGGTAAAGAAATATAAAGTATTATTCTTAGGTGCAAAAAATAAACTTCACAATTACTATTCACATTGCTGGAACAGACATGGTTAGAGGCCAATTTGTCTCCATATGTGTTGTGTAGCAAATAAAAAAAAGGCTACCAATCTTAGGTTCTATTAAAATAGGTGCTGATTTTCTTATTATACTCTGCTCTGGTTCTACCACATCTCCTATATTTTGTTCAAGTCTAGGAAACACATTTTGGGAATGACATCCAAATCTATAGAATATCCAGAGGACTGTAACAAGGATGGTGAAAGAACTTTGAAACAATACTGTATGGAATAGAAAAAAGAAGAGTTCCAGTAGGGATTTTAAAGGTGGTCACATCAGAGAGAGATTAGAGTGTTCTGCTTAGTGTCAAAGATTGTACAAGAAACAATGGCTGGATGTTTCAGAGGAACAGCTTGAGGCTGCATATAAAGAGAAACTGCCTAAGCATTTGAGCTATCCAAATATGGAATGGGCTAGATTCAATAGAAGTCTTGAAGCTAAGCCTGGATGACCGCTGATTAGATAGGGTGTACAGTTAATTCTTGTTGAGGTACAAGTTGGTTGAGAAAGCCTCTGAGGTTCCTTCCAACTCTTATTTTCCATGATCTTGTAAATAGCATGCTTTCTGAGTGGACAGAATCCCTTTGGAAAGGACAACATAAGAGAAGAAATGCTAATTCATTGTAAGTGACAGCTGTGTCTCTGGTCTTGTGAAACTCTGAAGAGTGTTAAAAGACCTGAGGGGAGAGTGAGGTAAAAGTTGGGTTGGCCTGATTAAAATCTTTTAAGTAAAGCTTAATCTGGGTGTTCCTGGTCTTTTTTTCTCTTCTTTTTCTCCCTCTGAGACTCCTCACATCCTTTGCTACACCAGAGTCCTGGTACTTTCTTTATATGTTCCTTTGAAAAAGCTACTTTGGAAAAGCTTCTGATAAGCTCCTTCAAACTAAGATAACGGATTGCTCATAAATAGCACATTTGCATTTTAAAGGATAATAAAGGACTTGAGGTGGAGCAAACAAGTAGGCTAGGGAAAGGTAAATTGGGAGATCTGATATCAAACCAAGTGGTTACTTATCCTACTTACTTGAAAGGCCATTTTTACTTGGATAAGTTGTTTTAATTACCTGTAATAAATACAGGCTAGATATACAAGTTGAATAGTTATCAAGTTTATATAATGAAATAGTTTTTGGCCTTTGATTCTCCTAATACTACTGCATCCCCGAGCCATCTCCAATTGTTTTGATTTATATCTGGCCACTGGACCAGAGGAGAGAGTGAGGTTGGTCACTTTGCACAGCCCTCCCTCACTTAAATCCAATTGATTTGCAAGGCAAAGCATCATCTTCTTGATGCCATGGCCCTCTTCGTGAATGAAGGACAAGCCACACAACTACTACTACTACTACTATACTACTACTACTACTACAACAAATGCTAATAATAACAATAATAACAATAATAATGATAATGATGATGATAAGACAAGCTTAAGATCACAGAGTAAGTGTCTGAGGGCAGATTTGAACTCAAGTCTTCCTGAATTGAGGTCCAGTGTTCTATCCCCTACACACGCCCTCTGATATGATACTATTTGCTTCATGTAGAAAAGTACTATAAAATGTATCAGAGAATGGATGGCAAGAAAAGGAAGATGGAATAGTCAGAAGAAAAGTAAGGTTGTGGAAAGAACGTGAAATGTGGAATCAAAAGGCCTAAGTTCAAATCCCAGCTTTGCTACTGTACCTGTGTGAACTTGGATAAGGCAAAAAACAAAACAAAACAACAAAACAAACAAACAAACAAACGAAAAGCATTTTCCAATCCTTAGCTGTAAAAGGAGTTGTAAAATAAGGGGGCATCACTAGATAGAATGTAACATTTGGTAATGGTGAAACTGATTTATTTAGAGGCAAAAGACAAAAAAAAGTCAATACATAAATAACATTTTATTTAATTTGTCTATATCTGAACAATGGGTTTTTAAACAGTAAGCCTAAAGGTAAGGATTATTCAGTGGATTCCATTTTCAAAAGGGGGAAATGCACTGAAAGATGTGGTCCATACTCCTAGTTCAAAGGAAAATAATTTGTCATAGAGGAAGGAATTCTACTAGTGGACACTTAGGGTCCATCCCTTTTGTGCGGGTTTCACTTTACATCTGTGACTCTAAGATCCCATGTGGCAAGAGCACATCATGACATATAAAAGCCCTGTGTTATTTCTTCTCCAGCTTTAAGAAGGACTCCAGAATGTTGGGTAGGCAAACTGGGAAAGATTTTCTGGAAGACGTGGAGAAGAACTGGAACAGCTGGGAAAGAAATTGTAATCTGTCCCATTGGAGAGAGTGCCCACATCAATGAAGTCATGGATCCATTTGAGTATTTGTATAAAGGTCAAAAAGTATACAACTTAAACTTCAAACAGAATCTCAGGGATGACAGAGCAAGAGGAGAACTTAATTCTATAACATTAAATCAGAAATAAATATGTACTTATTGAGTGAACCCCATGTAACTTGGCGAATAACACGCCCTGTGGAATGTGGTGGGAATGAAGTGGGATCCATGTGCAGTGCACCCATGTCATCCTAACAACCACATTCTTGTTTTTCCCCTTTCTACTTCTGTATGTGTGTGTTAAGAATAAGTAATGTCCTTGTGGAATTACTGTATCCAGTTGTGAATGATGTATGAAATGAAAATTCCCTGCCCAATGAACAGTGATTTGTAATCACTTCTATTCTGTTTTGCTTTGCATCCCGTACAGCGCATGCAGACTTACTACATTCGACCAGAAAACCCACTAAACATTTCCTTTGAAAGTAACAACAAAAACAAAAATAACCTTTTATATTTTGTCCCATTTTTCCTTTCTCCCTCTTGCTTTTTGGGTGCACCTTCTCCAAGTCAGTGGCACATACCTTCTCCAATAACCGGTTTATTTACTGAAATCCAAAAAACTAAAAATAATAGTGCACAAGGAGCAATATTTATTCTCTTTCAACATTTGGGGAAAGACAACAAGAGGTTTGAATTCCACAGGCACCAGTTGGGGGGTCACTGCTTGTTTGTTTATTTTTCTGTAGTCACTCCAGCTTTTTCTCAATGTTCAATTTGCTTTTAATCAGTAGGTATTTAAACCTCAGGAGGAGCCTAGCCAAAACAATCCATTCTGTTTCCAAGCTAACAGTTGACTTTCCACCTACACTCTGGGCTTATTCTCATAACTTTACCTTTCACTTAGTTAACTGGAACTTGCTTGGTCCCTCTGAGGCGTGGTTAACTTTCCGGAATTATTCATCTCTTCATACAAAGAGATGCAGTCATTCTTCCTGTATTTGCAAGGGCTGGCAGGGGAAAAGAAAAGTGAGCACAAAAAGAATTAATCTTTTTCTGTTTCTGTACTGTTTTAAGTGACCAACGAATTTTAAAACACGAAACCTAAGGTAAGAGGTATACATTAGATACTGTGCCCTCTTCCTGTTCATTTTCTGAAGGAGGAAAACTCACTGAACAGAGCAGCTGAAGCCCAAAGTTTAAGGGGGAAAGCACATCTGGTACAATAGGAAGAAATCCACATAACATTGTGGGAAGGTTAAGTCCATTCCATTTATATAAGTACCACTCTGCTGTTTTTCCCTTCACCTATACCAACACTTACTTTGGTATTATTTGCAGGTCTTCTATCCTTCTGCTAACAGAGAACGCAATCTCTCCATTCTTTCTGGTCCTATTCTTCTTTTCTATATGTCCTCCATAGAGGTGCTGGAGAAATGTCTTTTCCTGAGGAAAAAAGTGTCCTGCAAAGATGACAAAAAAAGGGGAGATTGTCAATGTTGGAAAGGTTATGGAAAAATAGACACACAGATTAATAAAAAAAAGTTGTGTAATTAGTAATTATGTAATTAGTAAAGTTGTGAATTGGTCCAATCACTTTGGGGGAGAAATTATGCTGAGTAAAATGTCACTCAATACCCATTGACACAGATCTCACTGTTAGTCATATACCTGAAGGTCAGAGATGTAAAGAGAAATTCCATATATACCAAAATGTGTATAGCAGAACTTAGAACTAGAAAAAAAAAGTAGCTAAACCTTGGCCCTCCCATTGTACTTTCAAAACAGTAATTTTAATCAAGAGAATGAGCTTTAGCCAGGACTATTTATTAATAGATCTGTGATCTCATTAATATGAGCAAGACCTCCACTAGTGCAGACTGCAAATCTATTCATGAATTCTTACTCCTCATAAAATTGTCTTAGGGAATCTATCCCAAATGTATTGAGGACCTTTCTCTAGCTTATCTAACATCCTGTGGATTTCAGGGGAGCATTCAGGTTATGTGCTAAATCTCACTCTCTTGACTAGACAACTTCCTTTTCTGATTATACATTTCTTGGATATTATATTTTTTTCCATATTTTTATTTAGCATTTTATTTTTTCTCCAGTTACATGTAAATACAATTTTTAACATTAATTTACAAAATTTTGAGTTCCAAAGTATCTCCCTTTCTCCCTTTACACACCCCCTCATTGAGAAGGCAAGGAATTCCATGTAGATTATACATGTGTAGTCATGTAAAACATGGATAATATCTTTAACAAGGCTCCTTATGCTCACATTATTATTTGTAATAAACTGTAGCCCATTCCATCTCTCTGTATCTCTCTGTTGCTCCTTGTGTGACCCACAGTTTTGATTCTTCAGAGAATATCAGTAAATGCCTGTTGAGATATTAGATATGGTTGTTTCATTATTCACATCCACATAGCACTAACAGAAGGATAAGATAGGTACTAGACCTAATATTCCATTGGTATAGTGAAATGCAAGATGAGGAAACTCCAGCTACCAAGGCTGGTCACCATCTTAGCTGGAACTTATAATCCTAGAAAGTTAACTAAATCACTGAATGGTTAAATGACTTGCTCAGAAATGTCAGAAGTAGGACTTGAACTCACCCTTTGTGGTTCCAAGGCCAGCTTCCTATTCACTACACCACCATAATTCTGACACTAGTAGTGTCACATAGCCAGTATATAACAGAGCTCAAACTTGAACCTGGATTGTCCTGGGCTCAAGGCTAGTTCCTTATCCCCTGGTCCACTACTGCCTCTCACTGAAGTGAATGAAATTTTAAAATAATCATCATTTAAGCTCAGTTCTTTACAGCCATCATTCAAGGTACAATCCTTGTGGAGAACAGGCCCACCACCACCATCACCACCAATAGCCAACCAGCTGCTGCTGATGGGTCAGGGAAGCCAGGCAATTTGAGTAAGCAAGGGATCTTGAGGGAGAGGCAGGAGGTTGTATGTACCAGAAGATCAAACCACCTTGACCACCACTGCTACTCAAACTCTGATGGAGACAGTCCAAGACCCTGAGGCCAAAATTCTTGAAAATAGTAGTATCTCTTATGCCATTGGACCTGCTTTCAATTATAGTTCAAGAAAACAATCTTTGTGGAGATGCAACCCGTCTTCTTTCTCAGTGGGTGCAGTGACCTTCACCTCTTCAGCAACACAACTGCAAAAGCCTAGAAAGACAAACATCACACCATCAAGATCCTTGGCACTATCAAATGGTTCAACACCAGACTCTGATATAGTCTTCATGGAAATGGCATTAAAAAGATGCATTATCCTGCTTTGAGGCTGCATCCAAAGGACCACAGGGCTTTCCCATCTGATGGGAAGCTGAAACCTCTTACATGTGTTTTCTTCCCCATTAGAATGTAAGCTTCTTGAGAACAGGGATTGTCTTGCTTTTTCCAAACTTTAGCACAATTCTTTGTACTAAATGCTTTGCTTCATTTATTCATTCATTTCCGGCTCCAAGGCTTGCTTTCTATCCAGTTATACCACATGGCCTCAATACAAGTGTTAAAAAGATATGATTTTTGTGTCCAGGAGCAGTTTGGAATTACTAAAAACTCTGAACAATTTCCCAAATGCAATCCAGCCTGCTCATTTCCTTCCATTCAAATCTAGGCTCCTCTCCTTTTCAGTCTGGGATACCTGTATAAACTATATGTGCTAACTCAGTGGCCTGTCATAGACTACTCAACAATTATTCATGTGTAGGGCTCTTACTTTGTGAATTGTAAGACCAGTTCTTTTTGAGTTGTCCCAAATCCCACTGAGGAATTTGTGGAATTTTCTGGTACTTGAAATAACGTTACCTTCCAATAGGAACACATGAAGACCCTCATCAAATAGAGGTTCTTCTCTTTAGCCTCTGTATGTAAGACCTTCTAGGACAATGGTGGACACCTCTATTGAACAATGATATTGATAAACAGAGGGTCATTAAATAAAGCTTTTTTTTTCTTTTGGCTGCACCTATCGAGGAATTATGTATAATCTTAACATGTACATGGAAGATGCCATGTTGGGAAAGGGATTTTAAAAATATACTTTGCTTTACTAGTTAAATACCTTTTTTCAGTCAATCAACATTAAATATCTCTATCTATCTATCCATCTATCTATCTATGTATATATCTATCTATCCATCTGTCTATCTATCTATCTATCTATCATCTATCTATCAAGTAAACTTGCCCCCTTTTTTACCTATATCTTGCAATCAGTTCTGTGACTGACCAGGTGATGTACTGCAGTCAGTCAATCAGCTAGTATAAATGCTAGCACCTACTACAGGTGAGGCACAGTGCTTAGCATTTGAATGAGAATGACAAGAAGAATAAGTAGCATTTTGTGGATCTTTAAAGTTTTCAAAGCGCTTTATATGTGTTAACTCATTTGCATTATTCATGAAAGCCAACCTACTCCAGTCTTCTATTTTCGTCATGGATATATTTGACCTATGTGTAAATCATTCTCATAAAGATTTATAGAGATGAGAAAGGAAGCAAATGAGCTGATGTTTTAAAAATCCTTCAGTTCCATTCAATTAAACAGAAATGTATTAAATACCCATTTTGTACAAGAAAATCTATGTCCAGAACAGTCTCTGATCTCAAGAAGTGTACTGAAGAAGCATATACTCAAGAAGTATAATGAAAAGAGAGGTCACCTCAAAGTTGGGAAGAAGATCTGGGTCAAATCCTACCTATGACACATATTGACTAATTAACTTTGGGCCAGTCAGACTCTCTGTGAGCTCAGAGAACTTTCTAAAACTAGAAAGACTAGGAGTTGCAGAATAGCTGCTGATCTGCATGGGTAGAAAGGGTTTCTGTTCTTGTTTTTTGTTTTGTTTTGTTATTTTTCCATAAACTGTTCCCTGTAACAATGGCAGCTAGATGGCACAGTGGATAGAGTGCCAGGCCTAGAATCAGGAGAACCTAGGTTCAAATCTGGCCGCAGACTAGCTGTGTGACCCTGGGCAAATCACTTAACCTTGTCTGCCTCGATTTTCTCATCTATAAAATGAGCTAGAGAAGGAAATGGCAAACCACTCCAGTATCTTTGCCAAGAAAACTCCAAATGGCATCACAAAGAGCTGGGCATGACTGAAAAATGACTAAACGACATGACACAAATCCGGGCTGGCCTCTTCTCCACTTCTCCCCCACCTCCCCAAAAATTAAAGTTATGCAACATTTTATCAAAAGTGAGACAAAACTTACAAAGAGGGAATCAGGAAAAGCTTTGTGTAGGAGGTGGTATTTTAGCTAAGCTTTGAAGAAAGCTAGGAATTCTAAGAGGTAGAAGTGAAGAATTGAATTCCAGATATATGGAACCATCTTTACAAAAGCACAGAGATAGGAATTGGTACATTATGTATAGGAAACTTCTACTAGGCTAGTTTAAGTGAAATGAGAGTATGTGAAGGAGATTTACATGAAAAAAGGCTAGAAGATACTTGTGAGCCATATTGTGGAGACCCTCACATATCAGGCAGAGGCTTTTGTAGGCTAGTTTAGAGGCACCAGGGAGCTATTGAAAATATTTGAATAAGGGAGTGATGTGGTCAGATTTACATTTTAGAATTTTAAATTTCCTGTTTGGTCAAAGCTTTAAGGATTGCTAACATATTCTGTGATTTTTTTTTAAAAACCCATTTGTCATCCCTATAAATACCTTTTATTGAAGTCACCAAATCTCAGTGTATATGCTATTTTGGAGGGTTTTAAGAATATGAAGAATTTTTTGAAAATTCTATTTTAAGTATTTCTTAATCTCCAGCACTAGGACTATACTCCAAGGAGATCAAACAAAAAGGAGAAGGACCCATTTATACAAATGTATTTATAGCATTTCTTTCTGTGGTAACAATGAATTGGGAAATGAGGTGATGCTCAGCATTTGGGGAATGGCTGAATAAGTTATGGTATATGAATGTGGGGAATAGTATTGTATTATAAACTATGAAGGGGGTGGTTTTAGAAAAACCTGGAAAGACTTATAAGACCCAATTCGAAGTGAAATGAGTAGAACCAGGAGAACAATATACATGGTAATAATACTGTAATGATAATGAACTGTGAAAGACTAACTCTGATTAATAAAAATATTCACCACAACTTCAAATGACTCCTCATGAAAATGGTTATTTCCCCCCCATATAGAGACCTAATGGACTTGAGTGCAGATTGAAGTATACTTTTTAAAAAAATTTCTTTACTTTTATCACTTTTTTTTCCAGAACATGGCTAATATAGAAATATGTTTTGCATGACTTCATATGTATAGTGGGTATCATATTTCTTACCTTCTCAATGTTTAAGGAAAGGAGTGGAAGAAGGGGAAAAATTAGGAACTGAAAATGAAAGTAAAAAATTATGTACCTCTTTATGCCTTGTGATATTCATCTGAGATATAGGAGTACCATAGATTTAAAATTATCAATAATTTTATAACTGATCTAATAGAAGTTGCTCAAGTATAGATGAGGAAACTGAGGCTCTTGGAGGTTTTGACTTGTTTGAAGTCATGTAGTAGGAGAATGTGATTTGATTTCATCTTCATTGACTTAAGAACCATCACAATGTTTCATGTTACTACATCAATTCATTTATTTGTTTTTTTGAATGTTTGTTTTTTAATGCTCATCATTGACTCCAGAGCACTAGTCCTAGAGTCAGTTCCAACCCAACCTCAGATACTAATTAGCTATGTGACTCCGGCCAAGTCACTTAACCTCTGTTTACCTCAGTTTCCTCAACTATTGAATGAAGATAATAACAGCATTTGTCTTACAGGTTTATCGCAAGAATTAAATTAAATGAGGTAATATTTATAAAGAACTTAGCACAGTACCTGGCATGCAATAGGCACTATATACATACTTCCCCAAGTATCCCATAAGGGTGCAATGAAAGTAACTTTGCCACCTTCTTTATGTGACTTTCCAAGGAAATCATTCTCTCGCTTCCCTACAACTTCATTATTTTTCTGGTGTCATTTATATCAAAATCAAGGTTGATAAAATTTGATTCCTCCAATATGATGTCACCTTCTTGGTTATTAGAAAAGGGATTCCCACTTAGCCAGAGTACCAGTAGTTAAACTAAGACATATAGACAGCTGAAAATAGCGTCCTCTGCCCCTTCTTTGTCCACCCTGTACCTGTATTCTAGAATCAGAAGGAGGTTGCCTAGGATTGAGGGCCATTTTGTAATTTTCTTTGTTTTATGCTTTACCATGGTTAAATATTTAATCACCTAATAGCCAATCAACATCATGTCCACATTCAGACACAATTCTAAACATAATTACTTACCTTCACTTGTCCCTATTCAACAGATAGT